CTTCGGGGTCCAGGCTCCTGTCCGGCACCCCCTTCCCAGCCCCTTCCTGTGCCGACTCCATCAATCCCTCCTCCTCCTCACCTTCCCGAGGCAACGCTGGCACAACCAGCTCCGTCTTTGCTGTGTCGCAACTGCCCGGGGGAGGGCTGGGCGTTGTGGGGGCTGCCCTGTCCAGGGCTTGCTCTCCTCTCTCCGATTCCTCTCCCATGCCCGCAACCTCCTCCTTGCCCCTTTCTACGTTTAGGGGCTCAGACTCCTGAGACTCAGGCTGAGAGTCGTCTCCTTGGGTCTGGTGCTGCCCTGCGGGCTCCGTGCTCATGCTCTGCGACAGGATGCCGCTGGGTGGAACGTCGGCCTCTCCTTGGTCAGACTCCTCCGTGGTGAGAGCGCCCGCCCCCCCCGGTGCACTGCCGCGGGTCGCCCCGGGTGCAGAAACGTCTTCGGCCACCTCCTCTGCTCCTGTCCCGGCTTCAGGCGGCCGCGGGGAATTCTCCACCGGCCTCCACTCCTCGGTTTGCTCTTCCGTCACCTTCTGTCTCTTCCACCTCCACTGTCTCTTCGGCGGGCGCCCCGCCTTCCGGGGCAGTTTGGCGGTGGACAGGAAAGCGTAAGGGCCAGCCGGGGGCTCCTCGTCTTCTGGGAGACTCGGGGAGAGACCCGTCGGCAGATCCAGTTCTCTCCCGCCCTTCTCCAAAGGATCCACACCCACCTCCACGTGGTCCCCCGGGAGTGGCTGCAGAGTCCCCGAGGGCAGATCCTTGCCCGTCTCCAGGAGTGGATCCTCAGCGGCTGTCCCCGCCGCCGGCGCCCCGTTTTCCCATCGCGTTCGCCCCCTTCCCCGTTTCTTTGGGGGCCTCCCCGCTTTCCTGCGCTGTTTGGTCGGGGTGCCAGGGTGGGACACAGAGGGGTCAGCCGGGTGCCCTGCGGCCTCGGGAACTGCAGGATCACTGTCCGCCTCTTCACGGCGTTTCCTTCCTCGTTTCGCCGGGTGATGGCTGCCGGGCACTTCTCCAGCATCGTCTCCATACTGTGCGCCGGCTCTCCGGGTGTCCGGGGTATCCCGTCCTCTTTCCTCGGCAAACTCCGTCGGGGGGCTGCTTTGAAGAGGCGTTTTCCGGGGCCGCCCGACTCTGCGCTTTGCCTTGGCCGTGAACTCGCCGCCCTGGGCACCAGAGGCAGCCTCTTCTCCCGGAAGGATGGGAAGATCCCGACTTTGCTCCTCCGGGACGCTGCCGGGATCTGCTCCCCGCGCTTCCGCCCCCCTCTCGCTCCTTCGGGGCCTCCCAGCTTTCCTTAGCTGCCTCTCGGGAGAGCCATCGGAATGGGAGGCGCCTTGGAACGCCAGTAGGAGCTCCTGCTGGGTCGTCTTGCCGAGCTCCTCGGGAAGATCCCTGGAAGGCTCTTCCTGCCCGTCTTCTGCGCTGAGCTGCCCTGCGTCAGGCAGCGGTCCGGCCTTCCACGACCTCCGGCCCTTCCGGTGCGCGGCTCTATTTGGCAGCTCCGGGGAGCTGGTGTCGCCCCCCTCTCGCCCCCCCTCTCCCTCTTGAGCACTTCGTTGGGGCCACCTGCCCTTCCGCTGGACGTTCCCCGCAGCAGGGGCGGCGTCGTCAGCCGCAGGCGGGACCCGGCCCTGGGTTCGAGACAGGACCGGCTGCTCTGTGATGTCGCCGACACCAGCTCCTGCCTCTCGCCTCCCTTCTTCCTGAGGCTCCGCTTCCTCGGGCGCGCCGGCGGTCTTCCGGGGTCGCCCCACTTTCCTTGGCTGCTTGTCGGCCCAGCCGGCCCACGGGACCTCCCGGGGCATCGCTTCGCTTGGAAAGCCCGGGGAACCGTCTCCAGCGGCGCCGTTCTTGACCCGTCTTCCCAGCTCCACTGGGTCCGCCTTCGCGGCGTTCTTCCGCGGCCGGCCGGCCTTACGGCGCGCGGTCACCGCGGAGCCGGGGGTCTGCTCGGCGGCGAGCGGCGGCCCAGAACCCCAAGGGTCCGGCGGACGTTCCCCGGCAGATCCCAGCCGGGGCCCCGAGTGCCGTGGGCTGGTGTCCCGAGAGGCCGCCAAGTCGGCGCCGGAGTCGGAGCTCTGGTCCGCGGACGGCGTCCTGGGCGGGCCCCTGCAGTTCTCGGGCGACCGCGGCGCAAGGCCGGGGGAGTCCTCCTCTTTCTTCACCTCGGACCCGCGGGGCTGGGCCGGACGCCCCGGGGACGAGACGTGGTTTGGGAAGACGGCGCCCCCTCCCCCCGGCTCCTGCGTCTTGGGCAGCCGGGCTCTCTTGCGCGGCCGGCCCACTTTCCGCTTCCCCGCCACCCGGCGGCCAGCGGCCCCGGCGCCGACGAGCCCGCGCTCCTCCTCGTCCCCGCCTTCCTCCGCCGTCTCCTCTTCCTTCACGGCGCTGCCCGCAGGCTTCCAGAACCTCCCGTGCTTGCGAGGCAACGCTTCGGGGGTGCCGGCGGGGTCGTGCTCTTCCGACTCCTCCCCACCTGGGCTGGACCCCCCCGCGA